ATGATGAAGAAGTCAATGCGGTTCAGATCCACCTGATTGGTGCAGGAGCCGAGAGCAGAGTGTTCTCTCCCAGGCAGGTCCCAGAGGATGACCTGCGGAAGTGATGGATGCGGGTAACCCCTGGCCTTCATCGTCTGGATGCCAGTCTGAGCGGCGCCCGGCTTATCTGCACGTTTGCCCAGCATGTTGTTGATGAAGGAGGACTTCCCCGAGCCCGGCTCACCCACTACGGCGACATTGAGCAGCACGTTGCTAAAATAATGCAGCGGTTTCGCTTCCACCATGGAGAGGGCGTTAGACAGAGTCTCCTGATGAATAGGGAGCTGAAATTCTTCCATGGCTGTAGCTCTGGATGTTCTGCAGTGAAAAGGAGGAGGGAGGTTTTAGCTTCACCGGTTCCTAACACCGTTTTACAAGCAAGAAAATTGTCTGTTCTTAGAGATGTGAAGGCCCGGAAAAAAAACGGAAAAATTCCTGAAGCCTTTTTGTTTTTTTCCGAAAAATTGGAAAAATTGAAAAAGGGAAAAAATGATTATGGAACATTTTATTTTAACATGATGAATAAAATATTTTAAGACAAGGTGTTCAAACATTTTCCAAATCATTTCTAATATATATATATATGGTATCAGATTGATCTAATTTCTGTGCACTGAGGACAAGCAAGTCCTAGGTTACAAACTGAACTCTCCAATGCAAGAACAAGATGCATTTCTTCCTTTAGGAGGTGCGATTGTCAGAAGAAAATAAAAAAGTTTCAGTTTTGTTTTTGCATGTGGGTGGGTATTCTGTTTGTAATAATTGTTTGGATACACTATATTTTTAATATGCTAGTTGTGATAATTTCATGCCAAGTAAAAATGTCCATAGTCATATTTTATGTTCCTAAAGTAACAGAATGACTTTCAATCTAGAAAAGACAAAAGAAATGCTAATGTAGCATTTTTTTCAATTTTTCCAAAAATTTCCGTTTCCCCCCGAAAAAAAACCCCCCCCGAAAAAAACCGGAAAAAACCCGGGGGGGGGGGGGTTTCTGAGCTTCAAAATTTCCAGAAATTTTACATCTCTATCTGTTCTACATTAAAAAAAAAATTAATGTTATTTTATAGTCTGCCTTTCCTGCTGGCACTCAAGGTGGATCACACAGTGCAGGTCATTGCAATCCACAGGATGGGATAGCCAATAAACAATGAAGTAACATTTCAGTTGTACAACCTACTAGAAATCTTTTTTTTTTATGGCCCCCCGTAGGGAATTTTTTATTTGCATTTACTAAAAACTACAACCAACTAAAAACTACAACCAACTAAAAACTACAACCAACTAGAAATCTAAAGACAGAACTGAAACAAAGCATTAGTCTGTACCAGTGTTCCCTCTAAACTGTGGAGTCTTGTGAGCAAAAATTCTACTTTGTGAGCTACTGGCATTAACGCTGTGAGCGAGCAATTTGGCTGCTGCATAAATTAGGTTGCTCAGGAGCCCTCCTTCCTGAGCTGAGACAAAAACGTGTGAGCTGGAGGCTAAAAAACTGTGAGCTAGCTCACACTAACTCAGCTTAGAGGGAACACTGGTCTGTACTGAATCAGACCACCAGCCATCAAGGTCAGTGCTGTCTACTCAGACTGGCAACAGCTCTCCAGGGTCTCAGGGAGAGGTCTTTCACATCACCTGCTACGGGGTCTTCTCAGCCGGGGATTGAACCTGGGACCTTCTGCACGCCAAGCAGATGCTCTGCCATCGAGCCACGCCCCCTCCCAGTTTACACTTTGCTATGGCACCCGCTACCTCTTCTCAAAAGCGCCCACAAGTTCAGCAAGGACTGGGACATCATGTGAGGTATAAAACAATGCCCAGGATTCTGGCCTTGGGTGTGAAGAACCCCCCACCCCACCCCGTGTTCCGTGTGAGTAACGCAGTGCAGCAAATCGGGCCAACAGGCTTTCCCTTGTAAAGACTGAACGGGGAAGGTCAGCTGTTTAGTATGTAGCCCCTCCCCTCCCCTCCCCAAAGCACACAGTGTCTTTCCCCAGCTTGCCCCACAACATTAACCACAGCAACAATCCAGTTTCAGAGAAAAGCCTTATGAGTCCCCAGAAGAAGAGTTAGATTTGAGCCCAGTTTGCATCTTAGTGACCAACAACAGTTTCAGGGCATTAGTTTTTGACAGACAGGTGAATACAGGTAGCTGTTGTTTGTCTGTAGCAGTAGAAAAGAGCAGGGGTCATTTTGTAGAAAAGGAGGTGTAGGAGCTCATTAGCATAACTTATTAGCATAACTTATTTGCATATGTGACACCCCCTGGCATCACCGGAAGTGTGTCAGAAGGCAACACTCACTGCTCAGGCTCCACTGGACTATTTTGGATTGCTAGCTATTGGGGGGGGGGATGCCAGTAGTTCACAGAGTAGATTTTTTGCTCACAAGACTCCACAGATTAGAGGGAACATTGGTTGGCCCACAAAAAAACTGGCTGAAGTATTCACTGGCTGAAGTATATACCTTTTCCATTATATGAATCCCCAGGAAGCAATTCAGATGACAAAGAAAATGGCATGGGTGTTATGTCTGGACATGTGCAATCTTCCACTCAGGCTTAACTGCTCCGGGTGCTAGTAGCCAGCATAAGGAGGCATGCCTGGACTTGTCAGGGAGGCCACCTAGATGGAGAGTGGGGAGGCATGTCTGGGCAGGCCACCTAGTTGGAGCTTAAAGCTCCAGAACAAAGGCAGGCAGGATCCTGGAAGCTGCCTGCAGATTGGCCCCCGAGGGCAGCCAGCCAATCTGGAGGCCGTTTGAACTCACCAACTGCATGGGGGCTGGGAGTGGCTCAGGTGTATATAGTTAGGGCAGTTGCCCCATGTAAAGCATTCCTGTTGAGATGTAATAAATTGTTGCTTGTTGAAATCACTCTGCCTTCGCCTCTGCCATGTTAAACCCACTATTTAACAGTGGTCTGAATCAGAGCTCTGCGAGATCTGCCATGTAAAGTTTAAAGGACAGCAGAAGATCCATTCATTGATCTCCTGTCTCCACATCTAATTTGGCCCTAAGTGTAATTTTGAGCAGCATGCAGTGATCAATAATGATGCACACAACTAGCAATGAATGTGTTACATAACTGTGGGGCCAACCCACAGTGCAACTCTAAGGACACTTTCCTGGGAGTAAGCACCGCTGATAGATCTGATTAGGATTCTAAGTAAACCTGTTTAGGATTACTGTAAGAGAGCTTCCATGTGAAACAAATTCATGGAGGCAGTGCTGTGGTCGGCACATTTGACACTGGGGAACAGGGCTAACATGCTCACTTTTGTTCTTCTGCCCTTGAGTGCTGATCCTGTACTTACATGTATCATTTGAACAGAGCTGTGATGTATTGAGATTTGGCTGGGCGGTGGCATTCCCTGTTTCGCTTGTGAATGGCAACACCTTGCATATCCCAGGATTCATAAGAACATAAGAACATAAGAGATGCCAATGTTGGATCAGGCCAAAGGCCCATCCAGTCCAACACTCTGTATCCCACAGTGGCCAGAAATACCAGTGCCATCAGGAGGTCCACCAGTGGGGCCAGGACATTAGAAGCCCTCCCACTGTTGACCCCCCCCAAGCACCAAGATGACAGAGCATCACTTGCCCCAGAGTCCCTATCTATACCTTGTGGCTAATAGCCACTGATGGACCTCTGCTCCATATGCTTATCTAATTCCGTTCCGTGCGCCTTGGTGTTTAGTCATGCCGGCTACATGACCACGGAAACGTCTTCGGACAGCGCTGGCTGTTCGGCTTTGAAACGGAGATGAGCACCGCAACCCTAGAGTCGGACTCGAGCAAGGGAACCTTTACCTTTTAACACCTTTGAGGTCCACAAGGTTTTCAGGCCTTGGGGACCCCGAACTGGTGAATTCTAAACTTCTGACTGCCCATTCTATTTATTTTGTTAGATTTGTATCCTGTCCTCCCCGCATAGCAGGCTGGGGTCCCCCCCCCCATCATAGATAATATACAAACTGTTAAAAAACAACGAAAATACATCAGTTAAAATACAGCTACTAGTAATGCCTTTATTTCAAACTAGTGGCCTCAACAGGCAAGGCCTACTACAATTTGGGATCCGGAATTTTCACACCCTTAGGAGGGGGGGGCATTTTTCTCCTGGCCTGTTGGCAACCGGATCCTTCCGCTCCATCCCTTGTCATGCATCCCTAGTCTGAGAGCCCTCCCCTCCTAAAATGCAGCCTGACAGTAAGAAGCCACGATGGGATCCTCCTTTCCTTCGCCCCTCCCCTTCCCCAAATCTCCCCCGCCTGCCAATCTGACACTACAATCTCGTCCCCTTTCCAGCCCTGGGCGCATCGATGGGGCGGCAGAACCAAGCCCTAGAGCGCAGGGTGGGTCTCTCTCCAGAGGGCCCAAGGAGGGACAGGGAAAGCGCTGCACTGAAGACCCCCAAGTTCCCCCCACCACCACCCCGGCACACCCACCCAAAACGCACAAGCGGTCTTCAAAACGCCTGCAAAAAGTTGGTCCGGCGCCGCCTCCGCGGCAACGCGAGCAAACGGGGACTTCAGATGCGCCCGCGGGCACATCTGCCCCACGACTGGGGGAAAAGGCGGCTGTGGAATCCAGGAAAGAAAGCGACCGGGGTGGGCGGTAAAGCAGGGGAATCCCGGTCTCTCCCCGAAGACCAGCTCTACTGAACAAAAGGCTCCTCTCCTACCAGCCGGGTCGGTGCAGGTGGGAGGGCTTAGAGGCCTGGAGGGAGTTTGCATCAAAACTTTCCCTAGAGACTCAGATAAGGAAGAAGAACTGTGACCTTGACTGCTTGCAGCTGCCCGTACTGCTTAGTGCTGGCCTGAGAGCAATCAACCAATTAGCACATTCCAGAACGATTAGCACCTATGTGTTGGAGTATTGGACCCTTAAACTGCAGTATAGGTTTCGATTCTCTTACTCAGAAGTATTATGGGATACCACTTGCCTTAGTAACAAGGAGAAGATGACATCACTTCTCTGGTCTGTGACTGGTCAAAGGCCTAGACTGGTCAGAGATCCCTTTTCTTCTATAAAATAAGGCTTCAGTCTGTGGTGTGGGATTATGAAGCCTAGGCTGGCCAGTAGTCCCAGAGCAAACCTACAACCTGGCGTCATGTCTTGATTCCACCCGGATGGGCTTTACTTGGAACCTCATGTTATCTTGGACTATTGTAACTCCTTGAACCTTGGAATGATACCTTTGCAGCTGCTTTTGTAAGTATTCGTTATGCTGGTGAAGCAGAGAGCTTTTGTTTTCCTTCGCTGCTAAAGTCCGTGTTTTAGAGTACATTAATAAACACATTGTATTTT